GTTGACCAGCAATCGTATCTGTTTGCTTCCAGGCCCTAAAGTCTAAGGATTATATCGAATTTATTATCTTACTTTTGACCTTACCTTCAAAGCTTCTTTTTCTGCTTCATCGTATTGCTCGCATTCCTCTAAACCAAAAGCTAGCATTCCGTGGAGGTAGCTGAAAAAACAAAATTTTTCTCTCGTTTGTAAATTCCGCAAATATTATATGTAATTACCTGTAGCATGGCTCTGTGCCTTTGTGTTTTGGTAAAACTGCACTAATCGAGTCACGAATCTTTTTAGCTTCTCCCAAGTAGAAGTATGTATCATGAGATAGTTTAATCGCTAAGAGATCAGTTGGATAATCTTCAAGGATCAACTCCCAAGTGTTGGCTGCAGCTGCATGTTTTCTAAAAATTACAAACTTGAATTCTTGTGCTTCAATTATAGCATTCTGTACCCTTGCGCGAATTGTTGAACAGCTTTGGCATGCAATATTTCCCTATCGTTGCCATACTTTGCAGCATCAACTTGCAAATCCTTCAGAGCATTTCGCATTTTTTCGTCGGTTCTTGCTCCCACACACGTGCCAATGGCTTCAAAGCCAAGGACAAATGCTCGAGGGAGTACTGTAAATGTATTGTAGGGTTACGGTAGCCTTCTGGAGGTATCATCAGTGAGAATTACCCGCTTTATCGTCGGCAGCAGTCATTGCTTCCATAGTTTTCTCGAGTCCACCCAATTGTTTGCAATCTGCCCAAGAGACGAACTGACGCAAAGCTGCGTCATACAGTTTGGCGCATTCATTTGACGGTGTTGATAGGGGAAGTCCAGAGTCGCGCCAACCCTGGAAACAGGAGTTCAACGTTTAGTTGAGAGATTCTTATATGTATCTTATACTTTTCTGTCGTCTGTACCCATTTTTTCAAAGAGTTCTTATAAAATACGTGCTTTGATGAGAAAGTTTTTTGGAAATTCAATGAGGATTGTCCACCTATATTATCTGCTCCAAGAGGGAGGTGGTCGCTCAAATAAATAAAAACAAGGCGCGGGCAATTGTCAACCATGGGACGCGCGCACGTTCGTCAGCGGTCATCCGCGCGCCGCGTCGCGTCAGCCTTGCATCCCTTCAATTTATTTGGGCGACCGCCTTCGTCATGGAGCAGATATTACCAT